AGCAGGCGGCACCCGGCCGGCGGAGGGACAGAGGTGCTTGGGGTGGTCCGTGTCCCTGGGGAGAGCATCCAGGGTGGGTGAGTGCGGCCCCCCCATCCCAGAGGGGGGTCCCCAATTCTTCTGGGGTCAGCACATTTATTTCCCAGTGTGACTTACCGCTTTAGCCGAAAGCCCCCCAAATTCAGGAGTCAAAGTTTGTTAACGAAGTGATGACGTTGGGGTTCACAAGGGGGTGCCAGGTGATGGAGCCGGGATGATGGCAGCAGTGAGGTCATTTTTGGGGGGACGTTTTGGGTTGCTGAGCACGGTCCCCTTGCCTGTGTGTCCCCGCTGAGCCATCCCCCTCCCAAAGCTACGCTGGAAAGCTTGGATACCCCAACTTCTGAAGTGGCTTTTCCCATGACTTCCTAGATTTCAACCCCAGGCCCCCCAAGTTCTCCCTCGGCTGGGCAGGAACGCCATTGTCCCCAGGTCCTGCCCGCTCCCCGTGCTCCCCATCACCACCCCGGGGTGCCCAGCCAAATCCTTGGTGTTGAAACCTCCGCTCCCAACCCAGTTCTCCCAGTGCCTGCAGCGTCGGACGGAGCTCCCCCAGTTAACCAGGGCATGGTCGCTCCGATGGCAGGAGGAACACGGAAGGTATTTCATCAGACACCTCTTTATAACAAAAAAACCTATTAAAATCAGCCACATTAACCTAGTTTTTTTTAATATAGAAGAGCAGCACCTCTGGGTCCTCAGGACCCTTAGGATATTTCTTGACCCTTTGGACTCTTCTTGCACCCTGGCCCACCACCAGCGTTCGCGTTCCCTTAGATTTTTCTTCTTCTGGGAGGGGAATGATAAAAATCAACAGTTATTTTTTGCTTCCTTCTCTGATAACCCAAATTCACCTTCATGATGGAGCCTCCGTTGGAAAAAAAACACCAGAGGAAAAACCTCTAAACTTGTCTGGAGGGCGGCAAGAGCATCCCCCAGGCTGGAGAAGGGTCTCCCCCAGCTTCAAAAACCTGCGAGTGCTTTAGCAGTGACCATTTGGAGACATTCTTGAGGTTTTAAACTGCAAGAGGGTAGGTTGAGGTTGGACATAAGGAAGAAATTCTTCCCGGTGAGGGTGGTGAGGCAGTGGCAGAGGTTGCCCAGAGAAGCTGTGGCTGCCCCATCCCTGGGAGTGTTGAAGGCCAGGTTGGATGGGGCTGTGAGTGACCTGGTCTGGTGGAAGATGTCCATCAGACTAGACTAGATGATTTTTGAAGGTACCTCCTAACCCACACCATGATTCTGTGATTCGTATTTGCAGCTGTTTTGATGGAGCCTCACCCAACCGAGAACAAGAAGTCACCTTCATTACATTTAATTTCTGGCAGGAGGTCAGACCCGTTCTCCCCACTGATGGGCATGTCGTTCAAGCTCTGCTCCTACCCTTCCCAGTTTTAGGACCACGCACACCCTTCCTGAGAAGCAGGAACACAGAAACGTTGTTGGCAGGGACCTCTGAGGTCTCCCGTCCAACCACCTGCATGGAGAAGGGTCAATGTCAAAGTTAGATCAGGCTGCTTGGAGCAACCAGCTGAGTTTTGAACATGTCCATGGACATCGATGGTGTCCTGGGCTGCATCCAACGACGCG